CTGTATTCAATATAATAACATTTAATCGGTGATCAGCCATCAACAAGACGCCCCTTGAAGATGGGGGATAGAGAAACTACTTTCGATTTACGAGACCTAATATCCTACTCAGTACCGAGAGGATAGTTTTACGATGATTTCATGCAAACAATCGACATAATTAGCCAATGTCAGTACAAGGAAGTTGATGCAATAATAAGAAGTGTTTGGCTGTCTATCTAGTGTTGAATCCACTTCAATCATTATACATGACTTCTCTTATTGTATCACGCTGAGATAACGATAAAAGGTGTATGGCTGTTTCTTTCAAGCTAGAATCAACGAATTATCTTACTATTACGAACGTGAGAAATCCATATTCTGCGACCATGACTGTTTTAGGGTTGCTTTTGATGACAACACTTCTGCTAATGGATTCAGTGGGAGCTGAAGGCATACATGGTGAGTGAATATAAGCAGTTTAGTCACCGTGTAGACATACAATTAAACCTGTCTATAGAGGCAACCTAAGGGGTACGGAAATAGTGGCCACCATATGCACGTGGCCTTTCTAGACAGGCTCTACAAGCTGTATATAGAGGTGGTTGCGGGACAGGTCGTACTGTGGTTTACAACTACTTGATATAATTTTGGATCAAATGTTGGGGACTGAGTATAACATTTATCTGCATAATGGGAAATCAAATTATTAAACAGTCGCGAATACTACAAATTATCTTCATTTAGGGAACTATGATTATGTCTGAAACCAATTTTAAATCAATTGAGGGGTAATTGGGTGTGACTAAAGTTCAACATGATTTATGTTAAAGAGTTCGAGTATGCATTGTGTGTTCCAATGGGAGTTATAAGTTTTCGGCAGAAAATATTTCAAATAGATATCAAAATTAGATCTTACCAGAGATGGGCAAATATATGTTAACAGATAACAATTTAATGGAAGCATTTTGTAAATAAATACAAATGACAAATTTGCCTTTGGGGTAATAACGTACAAATAGGATAACCCATACATTGCAACCATATTTTTGCAAATGTCAACTACGGTCACCAGAAGTATGTTGACTATTTGATATAAGGGAATGCACCATAAAAGGTGTTATGTGGTCTGACAGGCAGGTATCTGACATGATATATCCAACAACTTGCAGTAAGTTATGCAACGGGTGATACTTTCACAATCGCTGAAAAGCCGCGTATTGCATCATGTATAGGCTTTATAACTACACTTGCCATTTGAATTATTGTTTTGTTATTAGCATTAGACGTAATCATAATACTGCGTGATAGGATTTAATGTTATAATTTTCGATTCAAATACAACATGTAAGTATTGTTTTGGGAGATTTTCTGAAATGTGCAGTACGTTCAAATACAATTACCTATTCAATATGATAGTCAAGAGAATCCAGAAGGGCGGAGACTATGTTGATTGAGAAATTAGCCAAATTGGAGGCTCGCTATTGTATAACGCAATCTGACACTCTCTCAAATGAAATCAAACAGTGTAGAGAAGAATTAGAGTTGATATATGATAAAAGAACAGAAGGCAGTTTTATCAGATCTCGTGCTTCATGGGTTGAAAATAATCTAGAAAAGAGAAACCAAAGGCAAAACAAAATTACAAAATTAATTGATGACGAGGGAAAAACTGTGACGTCAATCCTGTACACGGCCAAACAATACTTTGATAAAGTTTACTCATCCTGTCATCCGCCTTTTCTGGATATCAATGAATTTTTGTTGAATGATATATGATGTCCCAAACGCTCAGCTGATTTGCAGAAAAAATGTGAAGGTCTTATAACTTTACAAGAACGTATTAATGCACTCAAAACTATGAATAATAACAATAGTCCGGGTACTGATGGTTTTCCGGCCGAATTTTACAAATTCTTTTTCAAAGATATCGGAATCTTCATGCTTCGCAGCTTTGATTTTTCGTTTAAGCATGGTTTAATGTCACTCGAGCAAAGAATGGGGGATTATTCATCTTATCTCCGAAAAAGGTAAGGACCCTATATATTTCAGTAATTGGAGACCAATATAAATTCTAAATGCAGATTACAAACTTATTGCTAAATGCATCTCCTTAAGACTGAAAATAGGTTTTGCCGACCATAATAAGCAACGAACAAACTGGTTTTTTACCTGGTAGATTTATTGGAGAAAATGTTTGGACTGCTTTGGATACGATAGAATTCACAAATAAAACTAATCAGCCTGGCTTGTTGTTGTTTGCAGATTTCAAAAAAGAATTCGATAAGATAGAGTGGTCATTCATACTGAAAACATTACGGTGTTTCAATTTTGGCATCGACTTGGTCAATTGGATTACAGTTTTATATAATGATGTGAGCTCATGTGTTATTAACAATGGTAGTGCCTCTGAATATTTTAAATTAACTTGCGGGGTAAGACAAGGCTGTCCGTTATTGTCCACTCATTTTCATCTTAGGTAGTGAAATATTAAGTCTCAAGATTAGAAAAGACACCTTGATTATAGGAATTAAAATAAACAGCACAGAAATTAAAAATAATGCTTATGCTGATGATACGGAAGGCCGTAACGATCTGTTAAGAGTTTTAGATATTCTAGAAGGATTTAAATGTCTCACTGGCCTAGCATTAAATAAAAATAAATCAAAGTTGTTAATTTTAGGTTATTATAAAGCTCACCCACCGGACGTTGCTTCGTCTGGATTGACGTTCAACACAGGAATTACTACTTTTCTAGTTGTACAATTTTTGGTGCATTTGAAGGACATTTTTTAATTAAACTTTCCACCCCAACTACAAAAAATGAAAAATATCTTCCGTATTTTGTCAATGAGAGACCTAATTCCCATTGGCAAGGTTTGCTATCGTAAAATCATTGGGATTGTCTCAACTAATTTATTTACTTTCTATCCTTCCAAAACCACCTGAAGCGTTTTTAAAAGAGGTCGAGTCTTTACTTTTTTTAATTTATTTGGAATGGAAAACCAGACAAAATATACCGTAAAACAATAATTGGAGACTATGTAGACGGAGGTCTGAGAATGTAACATTTACCCTCAATTATTTCAGGCTTAAAGATTGCCTGGGTTAAACGTCTGCTTGACGATAGTAATGTTGGGCAATGGAAATGTTTTTATGAAGTTTGTTTGGCTCCATTTGGAGGAAATCTTTTCTGGTATAGTAATATCAGTAAAAACGATTCTTGTATATTGTCGATAAAAAACATTTTTATTCGGGGGGTTGCCCAGTCATAGGCCTCTTTAACACTCGATACGGAAATTAGTCCTTCCCATATCAGACGACAAAATATATGGAACAACACTGTGATTCGTGGAAACAAAAAAGTATTATTCATAAAGTCATGGTATGACAAAAGTATAATTAAATTATCGGATCTTCTTGACGAAAATGGTAATATTTTTACCTTCTTTCAATTTAGAAACAAATATAAGTTTGAATACAATTTTGTAGAATTTTATTCTGTGAAAACGGCTATTCCCGATAATTGGAAAAATAATATCTCCAAATGTTCAGAGACAGACCTAACAGCTCAAGAGGAAATGATTAAAAATATACTGAAGGTAACGAAGATATGTCGCTATATTCATAATTTAAGTGTTCAACAGGTTTTTAGTCCCCCTAAATCAATAGATAAATGGAATTCTCTGTTTAATATCCCAAACATAGACTGGGGTAAGATTTTCTTAGTTCCTGTTTAGGTCATGTTTATGTACACGGATCCGCTATTTTCAGTTTAAGATAATACATCGTATAGTTGGTGTTAATAAATATCTTAAATTATTAAATATTTCGCAGTCAGACCTATGTTCATTTTTGTTATAGCTCCGTGGAATCTATAGAACATGTATTTTGGGATTGCCTAATCATTAGAAGGTTTATTGCGGATGTCCAACATTTCATTTTAGAGGATAAAGTTATTTTGAATAAAATTAATTTCATATTTGGGCTTTATGGAAACGATGGAGATCAATTTAATTTTGTTATTTTATATGCCAAATACTATTTTTGTTTTCCAACAAATGCAAAAATAGCGTACTCTCACTAAATTCTTTTAAATGCATGTTAAGGTATTATCGTTCTCTTGAACAATACATTTATGTTAAAAGTAACAAATTTGTATCATTTGATAATAGGTGGAAAAACATTGTGTTGCTTTTTAAAAAAATAATTATCTTGTATAATCAGCTATACTCTTGTTGTTGAGTATATTGGTTTCATTATGTATGTTTTTTTTATATATGTTTTGTTATGATTTGTAAAGTCGAAAGCAATATTGAATCAAGATGATTTTATTAAAGAAAACAATTTATCGTTTTTAATTTTGTTGTTGTTATCATTAAAGGTAATCATGATAATACCTAATGGGTTTTATTATCAAAAATCGGCGCAATCATTGTTTCTATTGTGGTTATTATCATGAGGTGTGATATTTGTTGATCGTCGTTATTATGGTACTCATTCTAAAAATCTTCTCCTTGTTTTAACAATAAACATCAGGACCAGGCTATGTAGGTTGCTTCCTTGTCGGTCCAGTCTGGCAGGCAGTGCTTAAAGACGATACAATTGTGAACAATGTGGACCAATGTGTGAATCACTGCAGAAGTTACAAGTATGCAGCCATCTCAGTTCGTACCTGCTTTTGCAGCAACAGTTCAGCTGATGGCCATGTAGCAAAAGACTCCAGCTGCAACGTGAGCTGTACCTGCAATCCTAGCCAAATATGTGGATCGAGCACACACTACTCAGGTTAGTAATTTCATCACATTATGGAAAGAATACTTTGCAGGCATCGACATGTTACGGAACACTAATGTTGAGATTCTAGAACAGGAATGAAATAGGAAGGAGTCATCTGCCCCTCTTCTACAGAACGTCAATCTATTTTGCTCACACCTATACACATTAGCGACTTGCTTTCTTATTCAATATCAATTTCCAAATTTCTTTCTCCAGTTTACAACACGACGAAAAGACTCATTACCCCTGCATTTCGTGGACTGAATGGATCTTCACGCGTACAGTGTATGGACTCAGTCACGGGAAGCTTCATTGAGCCTGCTCAGATATTTACCACATGTAAAAATGGTATGATATTTCTTAATATTCATGTCATTTTGCAAAGCCTCTTGTAGGTTTATTCAGTTTATAAATCAGGTATTAATCTTTGTATAAATGAGGAGAACGATCGGGGCAAGAATATGTGGGTGAGGAGTGCCATTATGGTGCAAAAGTCAGTAACCCCACCTAAAATGGAAAATGGTGATGATCATAGCGATGATGAAATGTTTGTTTGATATTATTTGTATAGAATATAGACCACTACTATATGCATGTCGGGTCTGAACCTTCAAAAATATATCCCAGTATACGTTCCCTTGAAAATTATCTACCACTATTATCACAATCTGGATTAATAGATCATGATCTGATACACCTTTCGTGTGGTCATGGTGGTTTACACTTTGGGTAATACTCGTTACGCTGGGCTAAATGTCAGCTTGGTTTAGACAAAGAGTCATTTATTGGTATAATATCCCATAAAGCGGGGCGTTCTTTGACTCATTGATTGATTTGGTATCTTTCATAGAACCATCAGTCGATTTTTTTTTAATAGAACTATTCATGTTTTCTTTTAAGCGCCATGAGCACCGAAAGGTGGACCTGTGCGCTAAACAAGTAGCCACTATTAAGGTAGTCCTATTTAGAGCCATGAAGGACCTGTTTTTGCAAGGGACATATGCTATTTTTAAAAAATCACTGGAATTCGTTTAAAGGAGTATTTATTTCCAAAGGGTTTAATATAACATCTTCATTCGTATTAAAAAGCTTGCATGGACACTGTTGGATAACACTGAATAAAACAGACATTTTATTCATATGATTATGATTTAAGAATGTTAGGACATTAGTGTTTATTAAAGGTAATACAAAGTTTTGGTATGGGGTCATCAAATTGGTTCAAATGAACATATTGGAAGCATATGTGATTCTACAATATTCAGTGATTGTTGTCGCGGTTGAAATCGAGTCTAAAGTTATGAAATTGTAAATAATAAACTCTTTATGTTGAAAAGCTCCCACTCAAGGTCAAGATATTAATTAAGATATAAAACAATGTTTCTTGACTAAAATTGACCGATTTGATATTTCCGTTTGGAAATTATATATCACACCTACATATTCTGAGATTTTCATGGTCGCAGCTACCATTGTACGGCCGTAGACTCTATTTGAAATTTATCAAACTTTACCGGGAGCACCGGTAAATTTTTATATTCCATTTTTCTCGAAAGCAGAAGTGTTTTAGGGGCTAATTTTTCTAGTGCTTATGATACATCTACAGGGGCATCCAAATATACCAAAATTGTAAACAATCACTATCCACCCAATTTTCCAAATTTACCAAAACTTTGTATTACCTTTAAGCCGATATCATCATGGTTTCTCAATTATTACCTTACCTTTTTTTTACGTGACATCATCTATTTTACAGATTCAACTGCAATTAAGGATTGCGCCGAAGAGCTGATTAACGAGTGTTGCACGTGCCGACAAAGTAAGTCTTTCTATTACTATTTGGGATGGTTTTGTCAGCGTGAATGATATATCCAATGTCCAAAAATGATGACATATATAAATAAAACAACAATATTAAAGAACATGCTCTCGATTAATTTCACGGGAAATGTATCATAATAATAATGCCTCGCTGATCATGCTGATTGGGTTGTTAAGAAATAGTTTCTAAATGCTACACTATAGTTCATCTTCTATTCCTAGATAACTCCCTCACAATTACATTTTCACTTTACAGAGAATAAATTTTAAATAGTTGTTTATACTCCAACTTGTTCATGAAACAGATAGTGATGATCACCTCCCTGAATAAGGAAACCATGCACATGCAATGCCTTGAATTTATTGTTTTAAACATTGTTTCATGATTTTCACCCAAAATTAGTGTTTTGTATGCACAGGATGCATGAAAAATAAATTGTGAAACTAATCCGTTCGAAGAGAATTGGTAATCACAGTACAAGTCTTTTTTTTGGAAGTTGCTACAATACATCTATGACAAACTCATTGTAAATTTGGAAAATTGGAGAATCTCGCTCCATTTTGTTCAAAATGACACTATATGCATTTTCTCTCCGTTTAGTTTGGTACCGGATTGTCATCGACGTGGCAGTGATACTCGGGGTTTTATTTCTCATCATTCTCATCTTCCTGTAAGTACATATAGTCCGTGGGCCAGAGGGGGCTACCGTGCACCCCCCCCCCCCCTATGATCCTACTTTTTGGGTGTCATTATGTTCATTGGGATCCATAATATCATAAAAAAGATGTTCCCAAGAAAAAAAACTCATTTGGACACTGTTTTTTGGCTCCTTATTTGTGAATTATGTGCTTTCATTTTACCCTGTTTCTCAGCAGATATAAGTCTAATCTCCACCAAATTTATAAACAATCTTCGTCAACTATTCAACAATAGGTATTCAAAGTTATTTTATTTTATTTTATTGTCTTCAATTATTGATGACGTCATAAATTTGCATATATTTTAATATGCAAATTTCTGTCTCAAAACCTGTCAAAATCACCTGAAAGTTGTATTTTGTCTGCTATTATCATAGAATAAGTTTTCAAACCGCCTAATTTGGTGTTAAATTATTCATTGATATGTTATCTAATGTTTCCTGCAAAAAAAATCAGTCAACTCATGTAGACATTGTGTTTTCCCCATTATTTTGTATGTAAACAGATCAGTTTTCCGTGTATTGTACATTTTCTTAGGGTTTGTGAACTATGTGCTTACACTTTACCCTGTTTCTCAGAAGATACAAGTCTAACCTCCATCAAATTAATAAACAATTTTTGTAAATCATACAAAAACAGGTAGACAAAATTATTTTAATTAATTTTATTGTCTTCAATTATTAATGACGTCATAAATTTGCATATATTTAATATTCAAATTTCTGTCTCAAGACCTTTAAAAATCACCTAAAAGTTGTCTGCTATTATTATGTAATAAGTTTTCTAGCCCCCTAATTTAGTGTAATATTATTCATTGATATGTTATCTGATGTTTCCCCCAAAAACTATTCAGTATCAGTAAACTCCTATGCGCATCCCCCCCCCCCCCCCGCTTATTACAAATAGTACATTCTGTATATATAATGTACATTTAATCTAGGTTGAATAGCAACTCCTCTGGTACACTCCACGCATCACCAAGTCCTGCCATAGGTTTGACAAATATGTTGCGTTGCTGCAACAGTTTGATTGGCTTGACTTTAAAGGCGCTTGTGGAGTCACAGCCTGAGAAGGCATGTAGTCCAAGGAGTGCTGGGCAAAATTAGTGACAACTTTGAGCCCCTGCTTGTTGCCCCTCCCTGTATGGAAGAGTAATGTAATGTCTGAAGTGAGATGAGCGTAATAAAGCAATATAAAAAATATATATCGCTGTTTGGGCTTTTGATCTGCACATAATCACAACCTTGCTCCTTTACCGTATTGGAAGTAAAGGATCACGCGTGAATCTGTTTCTCCTTGGGTTGAGTTGAGAGATGGAATCTCAGAACACAGTGTCTCTCTCCCATTCTGAGAAGTGAGCAGTTGGGCTTCTCCTTCTTTGATGAATATCATCTTTTCCCATACAGCCTCTTAGCCATGTCGTGCTTACTCCGGACATCCAGAAGAACTTGAATAAGTTGTTTCTTATTATCATCATTCGTTAGGAACTGCTTCCAGTCAGATGGTCTTTTGGTCTTGCCTCCTTTAATCATCATCTTCTCTGCACACCTATGCCATGTCCGTTCACTTGACTTCCCAGAGTCTGGCTTGTACATGTTTGTGCTGAAGATGACATCGCATTTGGATAACACTCCATTGTGAAGTTCGATGCAAATATCGTGGAAGTATGCAGGCATCTCTTTTAGGTAGTAGAAAACAGCATTACCATCTTCCATTACCAAGGAATTGCCAGTGGTTGGAGGTTGCGAGTTCTCTACATCCTTCCGGAGATAGATCAAGTTGGCTGCCTGAACTGTGTGCCTTTACCATCAGCTGGATAGCAATGTCCCCTTGTTGCTTGTACTCTTTTACTTTTCGTTGGGATGTTTTAAGCTTGAATTTCTTTTTTGTCTCTGCCATGGTTTGAGCTTCAGTTTATTGATGGGGTCAGAGAACGATGTCTTTTTCTCTAATCGCTCTTTGATGAACATCTCTTTCTGGTCTTTCCCTGTGGTATTGCATGCATGACATCTTTCTCAACCTCAGCTGGAACGCAGGCACCGGAAGAAAAACATACAATCCATTCTTGTCATCAACATCAACATGATTGAGGAAGCTTTTTACATCATCTATGGCCTTTTTTTTATAAATACACATCTCTCACTTTTCCTCATCTGAGTTGGTTGTTGATCTCTGTGTTTATTTCCACGTTGAGAATCAAACGTCATATCTGCATAATGTTCGAGCCCATCTCTGATATACACTGTAGTTCTTAATTATGCCAGAGACACCGACACCACTGCCACCCCCCGCAAGATTTGCCATGCTTCAGGATTATCTCCTCAATTGTCTTGTCGAAAGCACATCGGTTTCCTGGAATGAGCGACCTGGCAACACTTATTGCACCTCTTTCGAGCAATGTCATGGCACCAGGATGTGAATCTTCAATGTTTATCAAGAATACATCAAGGTAGGTCAGATATCGGGAGTAATTGTGACCAGGTCAGGCATAAGGAACAGGTAGTGCAAGTACAATGGACAGTCATTTTCTTTCACAGACCTGATGAATGAAAGATCAATCCAAATGCAATCAACATACATGTACGACATCAAAAATTGTGCCGTCTTCCCAAGAGATCCTCTTCGAACTTCAGCTTTGAAGCTTTCATATGACTCTATCAACGCCTAGCTTCAGATCTGCATTAGCCACAACCTCAGCAAGCCTCTCCTTTGTTGGTGATTGAATTAGCTCTTGGAAGATATTCTTTGATTCATCAGCTGTACCAACAAGTGCATCATCTTTCCCAGTCATTGACAGGAACTCATAAAAACGGAGCCTTTCTAAGCACTCCACCATTGTCTTGTGACAATGCAGACTCCTGTCGCAGTTATTTCCTGTTATGACGTCTTTCATAGACCCAGAAGATATAAAAACCAGCTTCCAAGAGGATATCTTCAAGTCCGGATCCTTCCATTTTCTTTCCAAGCTTCTTGGAGTATGCACAAATCAAATGGAAAGTGCCAATCAACACAATGTGTTTCTTGTCATTTTATGGATGAGATCCAAATGAGAGGATATGCTTTCATGCACACGCCCAAGTCAAATATTGTTATGACATAGTCTTGGCCAACCACGCGGCTTTCTTCTGCAGCTCTCGGGCACTCTTAGAATGTATCGAATTCTGTTATGGGATATTTTATAACAGGATAGTAATCTATGGTCGTCACATTTGAAGGCACCTCCCATGTTACTGAGACAAATCCAGCCCAACCTAAAAGCTCTTGACCTGTCTCTCCACTACTTTTTCGGACAAGCATCCACGCAATATCCGATTTCTGGCACATTTTTTCAATGCTTTATATCGGTTGACATAGCAAGGTGGAAGAGGACCTTCATGTTCAATAGCCAAGGAACGTTCTTTGGTTCATGTACATGCTTCTGAGGATACTGTGCTATTTGAAGAAATCTCCTGCAGCATAAACCCATGGGCTGTGTGGACAGAGCCAGAACCACTTAAGCTTGAAATGCATTGGTTGAAATCGTCAACGTCTAAATGGAAGACTGATGGCTCCACGGGATGGCGGACTACCTGTCTAGATAGAATACCGAAAGTCTACTGTAGCGCTTGTGCTATGGCAGATTCAAGCTCAAGTGAAAATGAATAGCTTTCTGAAAGAACAAGGCGATTCATGATTGTGATCAATTGAGCAGTACTGCGTAAGAGATCTCTCAGAGTCATTCATACCATAATATGCTTGGACATTTTCCACTTTCCATTTGTGGCTGCCCTAGATATTATCTTGCCCAAGAGATATGACAAGTCTAGTCACTCTTTATGGTCGAGATGGATTTCTACTCAACAAATGGTTCAGAAACTTCTCTAGCTCAGTGGGAATCTGGTCATCTGCACAGGCAATAGCTTCTGCGGTTGAGGGCCAGGTATTTCATCATCTACAATTTAATCTACATATGCTGGCAATTGCTTTCTTGTGGGCTACTTCCATTGTTCTCTGTTTTGCTACTTCATCGTACTTGTCACTTCTCCATTAATCTGGTTCTTAGTTCGCCACATATTTCTTCCGACAGTTCTTGTGATATCTTGCTTCTGCAGCAAACAGATCAACATCCATGATACTCAAAAGTAGGTCTTTATCACCAATTCTCTTCGCAACATCTACAACATTTTGCCACCCACCAAAATCTAACATTGGTGACTTTCTGATGTCCAAGAGCTTTTCACTTTGATTGATTTTGGGCCTTCCTTTTTATAAAAGATACAATCAGGATTGAGGATGACTTCATCAGTTATTGACGATCTGGGTAGACGGGGTATTGAAGGTTCTGTGGCATCAGATAAAATCTCTGACAGTCGATTGAGATTCTTGGTAAAAAATTTGGTAGCACTCCCGATGATAACCTTGCACATCTGAAATGTCTTCAAGAATGAGGATGCATGCTTCTTCCATTGCTAATTGTGTCAAGTTAGTTGAAAGTCGTGAAATTGTACCCCGTATACGTTTGATCATTCATTTCTATAAACAACAAAACTTTATTATAGCATATAATGGGATTAATGACCAACTGCTGAATAAGTTGGCTTTGTCTGACCCCACCCCCCCCCCCTCTTCAGGCTGATACTATAACAGAAAACAATGATGTATGTGGTAATATACTGTTTTTGATTTAGTTTGATGTCAATAGGCTAGCCCAAAAGTAATTGAAATACTGCTTGTTGAGCTTTTGTTTTTTTAAACAGGAACTTCAATTGAATGTACATTATATATACAGAATGTATTAATCGTAATATGTGGGGGGAGGGGGGGGGGAACAAAATTTGCGGAAAACATCAGATAACATATCAATGAATAATATTAAACCAAATTAGGGGGCTAGAAAACTTATTTCATGATAATAGCAGACAAAATACAACTTTTAGGTGATTTTGACAGGTTTTGAGACAGAAATTTGAATATTAAATATATGCAAATTTATGACGTCATTAATAATTGAAGACAATAAAATAATTTAAATTAATTTTGTCTATCTGTTGTTGTATGATTTACAAAGATTGTTCATTAATTTGATGGAGGTTAGACTTATATCTGCTGAGAAACAGGGTAAAGTGTAAGCACATAATTCACAAACCCTAAGAAAATGTAAATACACGGAAAACTGATATGTTTACATACAAAATAATGGGAAAAACACAATGTCTACATGAGTTGACTGAATTCTTTTTGCAGGAAACATCAGATAACATATCAATGAATAATTTTACACCAAATTAGGAGGTTGAAAACTTATTTCATGATAATAGCAGACAAAATACAACTTTCAGGTGATTTTGACGGGTTTTGAGACAGAAATTTGCATATCAAAACATATGCAAATTTATGAAGTCATTAATAATTGAAGACAATAAAATAAAAATAAAAAAATTTTGTATACCTATTGTTGTATAGTTGACGAAGATTTTTTATAAATTGGGTGGAGATTAGAGTTATATTTGCTAAGAAACAGGGTAACATGAAAGCACATAATTCACAAACCCTAAGAAGGTGTGCAAAACACGAAATACATATCTTCAAATAAGGAGCAAAAAAACAGTGCCCAAATGAGTTTTTTCTTGGGAACATCTTTTTTCTGATATTATGGATCCCAATGAACAAAATGACACCCAAAAAGTAGGATCATAGGGGGGGTGCACGATGGCCCCCTCTGGCCCACGGACTAATAGTAAATTCGATCGGAGCAATATTATTGCCTCTTTGGTGCCCTTGAACCTGTATCATTTCAATTTTCATATCATCTTTATACCTCAGTTACACAGTCAACCCGTCTCCACACCGACTCCAAACCAACTCCAGTAGGAATGGAAACCCACTCCTAACCGACTCCACAACGACTTCAAACCGACTCCACAACGACTCCACACCGACTTCAAAATGACTACACATCAAATCCGAATCGACTCCACATCGACTCCATACCCACTCCACAAAGACTCAAAGCTGGCTCTACACCGACGTATAACTAACTTCACACCGACTTAAAACTGATTCCACAACGACTCCATATCGACTCCATACCGACTCAACAATGACTCGACATCGACTCCGAACCGACTAAAAACCGATTCAACAACGACTCAACAACAACTTCAAACTGACTCCACAACGACTCCACATCGACTACAAACTGACTCAACAATGACTCGACATAGACTCCGAACCGACTAAAAACCGACTCAACAATGACTCGACAACGACTTTACACCGACTCCAAACCGAATCCAAACCGAATCCAACCGTTGTAATATCGGCCGTTCGGGTTAATCAAATTTATGGTTTGGTGTGTTGTTGGTCTGATGTCGGTCTCGTTTTAGTCTGTGCGTGAGAAACATCGAAGGGAATTTAAAAAAAATGTTCAGGCTGCTCATTTGTTATGAGTCTTTATTTTGAGAATGGTTTTCTTCGTACTAGCATGGCATGTCTTTACTGATGCCACTAACTTTTCTCCCCGTGCAGGGTCGTACGCTTTTGCAGAAACCGACAAAGAGGTATGTTCGATGACTGGCAACCTCGCTCTTCAGGGCAAACAAGACAAGTGGAGTCTGGTTCATCAAGGTCCGGTGATGATCGTCTACACCGGAACCACAGCTATCGCAACCTCTCAGGTTCTAGTACCCTGGATCGTGGCTTGGAATCTGTTGAACAGGCATCTGCTGTCATGGCTGCTTCGGGAGTTACAGCCATGGTTCGCTCGCTTAATGATGACAGCGGGAATCGATACGGCTCGTTACCAGCTCCTGCGAAAGGTGCATCAGCTAGGGGTCCTAGTGCTACTGCTGTCAATACCAACCTGGTGAAACCTACCACAGGGACGAGTCCTGCAGAAATGCTAAACAAGGGTAACTCTAGTGACGGAGAGTACTATGACCCAGATTCCCTCCAAACACCTGACCAACAGGGAAACCCACCAGCGCCTCCAGATTCCAAGAGCAAGCCCAAACACAACTCGAAGACGTGTCAGAAGGAACCTGCTGAGGATACTGCTAAGGAGGAAGATAATGTCCTGGACAAGTCAAAGAGGAGGTCTTTGTTCAACATCATGTCCAAAGGTTCTAGAATGCCTAGTTCCCCAAGGCCTTCGAAAGATGAGGACGATTTCCCAAAAGATCCTGAATCAATTATGGACAGACACAGGGATTGCCGATACGGGAAGAAAAATAGAAAGAAATCCGAAACGACCGACAGGCGAAGAAGTTGCAGTGTTTCAAAGGACGAAGAAGTCTTCGAGGATCCCAAGTCCTACACATTGCCAAATGATATATATGCGATTCCAAACAAGCCTGCATTTAGAAATAAGCAACCGAAGAAGATGTCCGATTCAACCAAAGGAGCCAAATCCGGCGACGTTGAACCCCAGGAAGGGTATAGTCGACTGAGTAGACTCTTCAAACCTCGGGCATTCGGGAAGGGCAAGTCGAAGCAAGGGGATGATACGACATCACCGGAGGAGTACTCAGATTACAACAAGCTGGGTGGCCATGAAGATCCTGACGTTCCTGTCACCGTAGACAAAGCTGAAAGCGACTGCAAACCTTTCGAAGGCATGTACGCATTGGTGGATGATAATGGGTACGCAGTGGTGGGAGAAGGAATGACTGCAGCCTCTCAAAGCGGTGATTACGAGATGATCGCACATGGTCAGATGAAATGAGAGCGCAAGAGTGTTATAGTTGTTTTTACTTGGGGGCGCCCTTGCATAGTACCAGTGTAATTGATTACTGTGGCATTGTTTATTGATGACTCTGATATATACATTTATTGCCCACAATTGGTCAATTGGGCTAATGATATTTACAACACAAATTATGCCTACAATTCATCATGAAATAGTCTTTATATCTCATTATCCTAGCTCCACTCAAAGATCTTATGTTGTTTCACTCGCACTAAATCTACTGTACCTTTTTTAGGATAAGGTACACATAGCTGCACTGGACCTTAAGGTATATATATATACCAGTTTTGGAAACGCCCCCTCTCAAAAAAATGAAATAGAAGGTCTTATTACCAATCATGTGAAATAATATGTTTTGTCTAATACGTGATGATACAAAATTTTACCCGGAAACCGCCTACTAATTGATATATCTGGTAAATTATCATATCAATCCGGTGGATTTATTTCGCGTAGTCCCATATACATCTTTCTGTGTACAGTCCTTGTAACTTTACCAAGACTTTACCAAATTTCTTATCATTTTGATGATTTCAGAACCTTGCAGTGTACACACCAATACGTATACGTTAGATGATCAACCTTTTCTGATCGATTCCACAACTTTTCTTTTACAATGCAATCGTATGACCAAAACTGGTTTATACCGTTCACAGTATAAATAACTGTTTTCGAGGGAGAAGAAAAAATAAGAAGAAGAAGAAGAATTTTCATGCGTTCATCTCGATTAAAAAAAATACCACCCTATCCCAAATGAAGATAAAATAGCAACAAAAAAATATATTAACATTACTTTGTACTAAAAAAATGGTAGATGTAGGTAAGCTTTGTTTAATATCTGTACTGCAATTTAGCCTCGTTTTGTGTATAAGGCTGGTAATTATATTGATACTCATATGATTTATTCTTTCTTATCAAAACTAGTAGAGTAAGTCAGGGTGACAATATACAGGCATATTTCTGTTGGACATCATGGCTTTGAAAAAAAAAATGTACAGATACTCATACATGTAGTAAAAATATCGTGTTATTAAAACTTATTGTAAATATTTATGGTTACATATCCATGCATTGGATAGAACCATTGCGTCTGAATTTATGACAATTTCCTTTCGAATGTAATGGCTCATACAAAATGTTGTGAGTGAAAGTTCGTTGTGATACTAAAGCCCATAACTTTGTGAGATTACATATAATGATGTATATACAATACATTATTTATACGGTAATTGATCCAGTGTAAGTCACAACAACAACACAAAATTCAATGAACATCAAACAATACTCCTTGCAGAAATGAAATTGAAAACAGGTCATTTATATGAAGGTAATTTACAATAAATCAATTGATTTATATGTCAATTATATAAACTACTTTCCCTTTCGAAATTTGCTCATGACTATTTTTTTTTCTCTGCCGGTGAATGTTGTGAATTGTTTTGATATATTTGAAAAGAAATTAACTAGATGTCACTTTCTAAGTGTGGATCGAGTCATTATTTATCTGTGAGTTCCAAAGGGTGTCATTGCATAACGTAAACAGCATAGGATAATTATAATGTGTGTTTGAGAGCGCTCCTCCCCTCTGTTCTCGATGCAGACTCGGGTTCCTCGGACAGAATGTTAACCAGGGGCCCTATTTGTCTAGGAGAGTCACACTCTATGCACGTTAGTACGCTACACTTCTCGCAGAGAGTAGGGTGTAAACCCGGAGCTCATTGTACCTGGATACACGACTAATCAACTACAGATCTTTTTATCTGATAGGCTGCAAAGCCTTATGAAGATTAACAGGAGAAAAAGAACTAGAAGAAGAAGAAGAAAAAGAAGAAGAAGAAGAAGAGGAAGAAGAAGAAGAAACAGAAAAAGAAGCAAAATCACTCACCTTGCTGGCAGGTAGAGATTACCATATGGCTACATGGTTGTAATCCGTTATGCTTACCAAATGTTTATATTATGAGTTTCTCTGCTGATGAATATGGTTTATTTCCTATTGCCAGGGACTCTTGTTGAATGTATTTTACAAAACATACGTGAGTTTCTTTATATTGTAGTACAGAAAGGAGACAGGGCGATACCATACATTTTACGTATATGTTTCTACATGTATAGTCTTTTTTCAAGGAGTGTTCTGTTTTTTAATTATTCTTCTTCCTTTTTATTTCCTTTTTATTTTATTCTTTTCATCTTCTTTATGCCATACTTGCTTTTTGGCAAATTCACGAGTGAGCCACAATTTACATTTTCTCATCTTTACAACTTTATCAAGAAATGAGACGCAATAGATGCCCATTCATATGTTTCGATAGCAATCGGTCATCATAAGTTTCCTTTATGTTTGTATTTTTTACAATAAATATGTTTTACGTCAGATTTCTTTAAAATTCATTAATTTGCTTTGATTTACACGTAATAATGTATCTTGAAATAATTGATTCAAAATATCTTTTTCTTTATAAGGAACGATCAGCTAATTTTCCTCTCTTTTTTTGGAAGAAGTATGAACATTTTTCCAAAGCTTGATGTTCTATGAATGTGTCAATTTAATTTGTAATAATAATGTGTTTTAACAACTAATTGTTTTTCTCTGTTGTTCAAATCGATGATTATTATATCATGATATTTTTGGTTTAATTGTAAACATTGTAAATTATCCCTGGACTACTGCTTTGTATTTTGTTCATAAACCTTAGTGACTTGGATTTAATTGAATTGCAGTGACAAACATGAAATTACCATTCCCATAACATTGTTGGTGATTCCATTCCGGTCTTAACTGGATAAATGAGGAACCATTCCAAAATATGTATATATTTGTTCGGGATTGTGAATATCTAGAATCATTCAAAAATAACTAGAGTAACTGGGAAATTTGAAATTATCTCATGGGCACCATAGAGATAATTCAATATCTTGGATGTAATACTTATAATGCATTAGGCGATACCACGAAGAATATACTGTGTATACATACATGTAGCAACACACTTTCATGATTGAGTTGTAAATGAATAATGAAACATGTCTCTATAAACGTATCTATGAATGTTGGGCTAGAAACAGATGTATAGATGTTCAATTAGCAAGTGTTTTATTTCAAAGGAAGAAATTATATAAAACTACACTCTTAACCCGATTCCGTTTGATTCATTTTGATAATTAAAATTTGTTATACAAAAGCCGGCTTCAAGATTATTCAACTGTTTCCAAAGCAACAAAATAATCTAGTCCTGTTTTAAAAGGAAAAATCACAGAGGTTATCAAGACCAGAAATAGGTAGTTTCGCAAAGCTATTGTATTGCAAACGGCAGTGTCACCAATTGGTGCACATTGAATTGTACAAACTTACATGTGTAGCAAACGAATGATGATAGCAATCGAAGTGCTGTGAACAAATTATGATATTGATAAGAACAAAAAAAATTACCCTGAATTTGACGAGTGGATGAATTTGAAGTCGAACTGTCAACACTTTTAGAGGAGAAAAACAAGAGATGGCGCTGTTTCACTTTTCCTGATTATTTGGAAGTATTTTTGTGTTTGGAAGGGACATGTATTTGAAAGGGGAAAATGTATAGAAACAAATTTGCAAATGGACACGTCAAAATTAGGGACTTCTAGATTTGCGTGGACTGAAACGTGTGACGTCCATTCAAGGCAGTGCATTAAAAGGACGTCGATGGTAGCAATCCCCATTGCCTTCGTGCGAATCTAAAAGTCCCTATTGAATCCGAAGGAACAACTCGAATTAACCTTTGTCAGTTGGCATTTAAGGTTTGTGTGCTGGTGTGGGTGTGTATTGTGTTTGTCTGTCTGGCTGTCTTTGTTCAAAACACTATTTTATTCCTCACCCAGCAACTTGGCGCAAGTGAGATCTGGCAGTCTTGTAAAGAATGTCTGATTTTCGGTCATGCATGCAGAGATTAAAACAAAAATGGGACCTAAATGTACTGGGAGGATAACTCTAACAAGACATATCAAGAAACCCATAATTGAATATTCATACTTCAAACAATACAACTTTAAAAAGTGGGACATTTTGTCTGACTCACTCTGTATATGGCACATTGAAATTACTTTTTGTAAATAATGAACAACACGATAAATCAAAGTAGGTCGTTCAACGACAGAGAGAGAGAGAGAGAAACAATAAAGGAGCAGGGATGGTCGAAACAATTCGGCTGAGAATACGCCGACAGATTATGGCGTGGTCGGAAACTTATTTTGGTAGATGGCTGCACGCTCTGTCATTAGACTCTGTTTAAGTTTAAGCCACCAAAACCTATGGGTTTTTTTCTCGCAAATTCGTTTTTAAAAATGTTAAAGATATGTACTTATTTACTTTCCCGAATGTCTTTGATCTTCTCAGTTTGAAGTCCATACGTTGATTTATATTACGATGTGCTTCCGTATTGATTGTCCTGATATATTTTACGGTGACAAAGAAAAATATATTAGTAACCTGGTCAACAACATGAATCTACAAAACAGAGTTAAAAGTGCAAATGTTTTATTTAATATCTTCTTTGAAATGAAACATCTGACTGAAATTAGTAATGTAAATTGTTTACAAATATATTTACAAATATAATAAGTAACATTTCATACAAAAAATACGCAGTTTTTCATAATCTTCAACAATGTTACCGAGTCACTTTAAGAGTGACAGATATTTCTGAATGCACTGCACCCACTTGATCACTCAGTTTTCCCGAGAGAGTTATGTCGCCAATTATTTCTTTTAGTTTAGGCCGCCATCTATCTCCAGTCTAACTGTTCACGATGGTGGTCTCCTGCGTTCTAAATACCTCGCTAATTTATTGGAAAATATTTACTATATATTCTTATGTTGTTTGATTTCTTATTGATTTATTGTATGATATAATTGTTCATGATTTTCTATTTAATTACTTCTGTGAACATTTTTAGTCACTGCATATATTATTGTTCGAATGTTTTGTACTTTGAATGTGAATTTGTATCTTTTGGAACGCAGAAATAAAATCAAACAAACAAACGTAGGTTCATATCAATCATTGCAAATATATTGATAAAACAACTTGTTGGTACCTAGGTATCATTAAGTATAACAAGTATTCCACTCTTTATGTGTGAATTTACATGCAACTCCTGTCGCATATTCTATTTCTCCAGAGTAGTTTTATTAAAGAATACGAGATTAATATAATTATACAGATAATGAATAGGTAGATTTAGATATTTGAGACATGAATAAGAATATTAACAAAATAGCAATGTACAGTGCAAATACGTCAATTTGTCGGTCATTACTTTCACAT